TATTATTAATTATATAATTATTAACCTTTTTTTGTCATAAAAAATGTACCGGAAAATATAAATAAAAATTTATTGTCGATGATAAACGGCAAAATCGATTTTTAAACAAAAAATTAAATTATTTTCACTGAAAAAAAAAATTATTAAATTCAAATAATCGGTTACTTGAATATAATTATCAAATAAATATTTACTTGAACCAAATATAATTTTTATTTAATTTAAATAAATTTTATTTGAATCAAATAATTTCTGTATTTGAAACAAATAAAAATTAATTAACTCAAATAAAAATTATATTTGGTTCAAGTAAATATTTATTTGATAATAGTCAAGTAAACGATTATTTGAATCAAATAAAAAAATTTTTTTTACTTTACAAATTAATTGCGGTAATAATAAGGTATAAAATAATAATTACATTTTTTTTTATTGTTGATTTCGAAGTTATCAAGGGTCAACTTATAAGGCCGTACAAATTTTATATTATGTTGTTTTACTTTCCGGTGGCTCATAAAATAATATATAAAAAAAAATTGAATTCTGCATAATTTCTTGATAAACACAAACTAAAAACAAATAACAAAAAATACTTCGTCATTAAATTTTGTAAACAAATTTAAATTCCCCAAGACTTCAACACACACACACTTGTTTTTAAAATTGAATGAAGCTTGTTTTTTTACTATATTTAATGTCAATGAGTATAAATTATTATTTACCATATACGTATTAAATCGTGGAACTCGTAAAGTTAATATAATTTTGAATTTTGCGACAAAAGAATACATATAAGTATTTACTTTCAAGTAAATCCATTAATTTTTTAAAAATATGTTCGCCATATTGGATACGCCATTTTGAATTTTTAAAATCTGACTTCAGATTCGTAATCAGCGACCACAAAAACCCTCGAGTAACAAGTTTCAAACGAATTCAATGAGTTTTTAAAAATATGTCCGCCATATTGGATCCGCCATTTTGAATTTTTGAAAAATTTTAAAATCTGACTTTAGATTTCTCAGTTATCCAGTTCTCAGTTTGCTGAGTCATTAAAAAAAATTTGAAAAAATTCTCACAGTAGGAACGTCATTTAAAATTTTTGAATTATTTAAAATAAGAGTATGAGCTGACGATTATTATGAGTAGATAGAATAGATAGAATAGAATAGATTTTTGAAAGGAGCTTTGGGTCGGTTGACGTGAATCAAACATTCTTTTTAATTATTAATAGTCGCGTAAAAGAGTTAAACATCAACAATCCCACTTGGAAAGATTCCACGGAAAGTGCCACCTGGAGGTTCTATCAGAATTCCGCCGGAACTTCCAACGTAATTCCGTCGGAATTCCATCGGAGTTCCAAAGGATTTCCGATGGGATTACGACAAAGTTCCGACGGAATTAGGAATCTAAAAATTTTGAAAAAAATTAATCGGAATTCCATCATAACTCCGTCGGAATTCAATCGGAAATTCTTTTGAACTCCGATGGAATTCCGACGGAATTACGTTGGAAGTTCCGGCGGAATTCCGATAGAACCTCCAGGGGGCACTTTCCGGGGAATCTTTCCAAATGGGATAACACAGCAAAAAAATAAAAAAAATTCTGATCTGGGCTTCTGATCATATATATATGTTAATTATAAGTTTTTAGGGTCGCTGAATCCGAATCCGAGGTCCATTTAACACCATCAATTTAGAATTCTTCCATAACCTTAAAAAAATAGTTTCTAAGTTTTTTTTTGAGGTTATGGCAGATTAGGAATCCTAAAGTGATGGGTTAAATGGGCCTCGAATCCGGATTCAGTGACCCCAAAAACATATATATTATATATAAAGTAAACATGGTCAAACCTCCAGATCAGAAATTTTTTATTTTTCTCTGTGGCTGTGTAATACAAAGCTCAATGAAATTAGTTTTAAAGATTGTAAATTACAAAGTACAGTATTATTATTTATGTATATAGTGGTTTGTTTGTTTGTTTGTAAACATTGAACAGTCAACGACATTTACAAGATTTATTCTAGTCGGGTCTTTGTCTTCTTGTTGCACGTGCACATAATAAAATATAGATAATAATTTTGAACTTGTAAGTAATGAGTTTTTGTGGTTTTGTCTTTTTTTTTTGAGTCGCACCACAATAATATTAATATACGTAGATATACAACATACATATATTATTGATGGATTACGATACTCATGTATATATAAATGTATATGTAAATTAAAAAAAGCAAAAAAAAAATTTTTTTGACGCAATTATTGTATGTAAATGATAAAAGTTTTTCTTTCTTTATTATAATGGCATTGATAGAGATAAAAGCATTTTTGCTTCGCTGTTTTTTTTTTCTACAAGCTCAGATGGTTCAACTATATTGTAGACGCGTCATATTAAACAATTTTTGCAATACTGGAAGTTACTTTTGATATCAGGAATAACGAAAGAATTTCATTATTATTATTATTTTTTTTTTTGTATGACCTCTCAAGGGCTCCAAATCTAATTTCGATATTGTATAAATTATTATCACTCTAAATCTGAATCAGTGAAAATTTCACTGAATTCAAATCAGTGGCTCAGTTTTCTTTAATTCACCAGTGGAATTTCACTGGGATTCAATAATCAGTTTCACTGATTCCCAGTGAAATTCCACTGGTGAATTAAAGAAAACTTAGCCACTGATTTGAATTCAGTGAAATTTTCACTGATTCAGATTTAGAGTGATTATTTATTGTATTTAATGTATTTATAAATTTTTTGGCATGAGGGTTCTATGAAAAAAGAACAAAAACTTTTCCTTTATTTCATATACGTTTCGACAACTAATGCGTGTGATTTTGTCAGTGAATTTTTATTATAGTATCCCGGCAAGAAGAAAGGGATTAAAACTTTTCAATATGCCTTTTAATTCCGTTTTCTTCCGAATACTATACCAATTTACCAAAAAAAATATGGTTATTCAAAATAATTTGTAATTAATTAATTTCTAATCAACTGTATAGAATAGCAATTTCTTTCTGTAGAAGGCATTAAAATAAATAAATTTATGAAAGGGATTAAAAATAATTCATCCTGTTAGACGACAACTCCTTGAAAAAGTATTAAAAGGGATTAAACACGAACAGCATTGGATGGCATTGACTTCATTCAACTTCTTAATTTTTATTGAGACATTGAATGGCATTCAAATTTTACATAAAATTTTTATGGATTCAAAAGGATTGAAACGAGGCAGATTTATAACCTACCGAAGGCATTAACTGGAATTCCAGAAAGAAATGGAATTAATTATCATTTAAAGGCATTCGATTGTATTTTTTTCAATGCTAATTAATACCTTTTAATACACTTTTTCTTGCTGGGATCTGTAATGATAAGTACAATGTAACTGTAGAGTGATGTTTAAAATGTATAGATATTGTCGAATATTTTAATTTAGTTTTGTTAAAACATGTGAAAGTAGTATAAAATGTAAAATAAAATTAACGTAGAAGTTATAAATAACAGTTTTATATAAAAAATTTTTAAATTTAAAAAATTTTCTAAACTGGTTAAGTTAATGTGCTATAGAAATTATATCCAAAGAAGAATTCTCAAGCCAACAAATTTAACTTACAATATCACATGTTTGAAGAAAATTTAAGAATGTTGTAGATAGAAGTGGTACTATTGAAGTATACTATATAAATTTACTTCAATTAACTGTAACACAGCACAACATAGATATACTTTCAATGTTTTATACATTTTTTAAGAAAGATTGAAGTGACATAAGTAATAATAATTTTCTCCAACGCCTGCGCTCTAAAAGTGCAACTTTCTTGGTTAGAAAAGTATTGGGGAAGTTGAACATTTATTAACTCCTCGGCCGAGCGTGGGAAAAGTAAATCATTATATTTTTTTTAGTTTTTCTTTGATAAATATTAAATAATAATAATAAGAAATAAATCATTGTTCATCATTGTATCATATATAAATTGTTAATTCTTCCTAATTAATAAAAATGCATTTCCTCGCGAGGCGTTGGAGAAAACGTCGTGTGCGACCAAATTAAATTTCGATGGATATAAAATTCGATGCTTTTAAATTTCTATCATTTAGAATATCGAACAAATAAAATATCGACCACTTTATATGTCGATCATTTAGAATATCGACCAAACAAAATATCGAACTAATAAAATTTCGACCACTTTAAATGTCGATCATTTAGAATATCGACCAAACAAAATATCGAACTAATAAAATTTCGACCACTTTAAATGTCGATCATTTAGAATTTCGACCAAATAAAATATCGTCTAAATAAAATGTCGACCATTTAGATTTTCGATCAAATAAAATATCGACCAAATAAAATATCGACTAAATAAAATGTCGACTTTCATAACTGTCGTTTTTTTAGAATTTCGACCAAATAAAATATCAACTTAAAGTAATTCGATCAATTAAAATTTCGAACTTTTTAATTTTTGGGAAAAATCATGCGCCTCGCCTCGACTTTTCAGAGGATACTGAAATGTAATTAATTCAAATAAAAGGGTTACTTCACTTTATTATTATCAAATAAATATTTACTTGAATGAAAAAATTTTTATTTGCATCAAATAAACTGTATTTGAACTAATAATTTTTCTATTTAAAACAAATACCATCTCAAATAATATAATAATTTATTTCGTACAAATAAATATTTATTTGATAATATAGTCAAGTTTTTTTTTTTTGGGGTCCGGTCACTGAAGAAAGTAAATTTTTTCCAATAATTTTGAAAAGACATGGGTCTAATACGATTGTAGGTGGTTTGAAATAATTTTTTCCTATTATTCCCAACTAGTTACGAACTAGTTGAAAATAATAAGAAAAAAAATTATCGTAAACAAATACTGCCAAGAGGCAATCTGATTATTTTTCTAATGTTTTGTTTTTTTTTTTTTTTTTTTATTTGGTAGCTAAAATAAATTTTCTTTGAATTTAAAAAAATTCATCTAATACTCACCAAGTGGCAAATCACAAAGTAGACAACACGCTGCCATAGCTCCAGCTGAGGCACCGCTAATTTTATCCAATAACAAATGGGGTGCATAATTTTTAAAACACACGGCAACACCGACATGATAAATGCCGAGAAAGCCACATCCGGCAAACGATAGATTCATCCTTTGCCGTTAATAAATGAATTAAACTTGAATTTTATCACTATACTCTTTATTTCAACAAAATAGAAAAATAACAATAAGGTTATGTACATTACACGTAACGCACACACTTTTGATTATAATATATATATACATATATATCAACTCCACGATTGCTCTCGTGCTACTGAATCGGAGATATGACTTAATTCTCGTTTTAAAACAATAGCTGCACGAAAGAGACAAGAACGCCAACTGAAATAAAACATAATAATAATCATATTGGAAAAAACAAAACAGTTATATATGATAAATGCGCGTTTAGTGACGTAAATAATGTGTCATTAATTGTTGATTGGTCCCTGACTCGAAATTAAATAACAGAGGCATGTGAATGTATTTTATATATATACATATATGTCATACAACAGTGTCAGCTTCTAGTAAAATTTTCTAGGGAAATTGATATTCTGAATGCTACATTTAGTTTCAAAAAAATTTAAAACTTATACATTTTTCTGAGATATAATGCATTATCGTCCCCGCATACAATCAGAGAAAATATTTTATTTTTGTGACAAATAAAATTTATTTAACTTTAAATAAAAATATTTTTTTTTTTTCAAAGCGTAATACTTTTTTTTATATTTGTTTCAAATAAAACATTTCATTTATCACAAATAACGTTTTATTTAGTGTAAATAAATTTTTTATCTGAATTAAATATATAATTTTTATTTAGTGCAAATAAAATTTTTATTTGAATTAAATATAATTTATTTGACTCTATGAGACAAATATAACTTTCCTCTATATATATATATATATATATATATATATATATATATATATATATATATAGCCATTAACATTAAACGTATAATTTGATCTAATTTACAAATTTCAAATGTCTAAACAACATTGAATATATTCATTTATTAGAATGTGAATTTAATGATTCTTATTACTCAAAATGATTAATTAATTAAAAATATTTTCAGTAAATATTCCATTCATCTATTTTGTATTAATTAGAATTTTTAATGATTCTAATAATTTATTTTCTTCAAAATTTTAATTACTAAACTGTATATGACCTAAAATTTATTTCTCACAAATTTTTATATATAATCTAATTATAATAGTCGCTAATTTTGAATTATATAAATGTTAATTAAAATCAAATTTTTTTTGGGGCCTAAATTTTAATATAGAAAAATTTATATAAAACTGATTTAAAAAAAATGGATCAAAATTTCAAATGATAATAATGGAATTTACAAAAATTATTATATTACATAATCATAATTTCATAATACGTAAATAAAATATTATTATCAAACTGCTATAGTTATTATTTATCCTAATTTTTTTTCTTTTCTATAAATGTCATTTATTCTATAAGGCACAAATTCTCTAAAAGTATTGTTATTAAAACTGTATTCTTTATATTATAATCTCCATAAAATTTAATTCATTATTGTTATTATTATTATTATTTTTAAAAAATTTCTACATAAAAGAATTGTTTCTTAAACAAATTTTAATTGTAATTAATTAATTTCCACACGGGCACCTATTATTTAAAATATAAAATTCTATTACATTAATATTAGACTCAATCAAAATGATTTATTTATAATTATTTATCCCATCATTAAAAACATCTTCGATGCAAAAAGTTACATCAAGCAAAAATTATTTTAACCATCGAAACAATTCGTGAAATGAAAGTTGACCAAGTAAATTTTAGGATTATGTTAAGTTTTAATTATAATTTTTTTAATATAAATAATTAAATTTAAAAATGGAAAATTATATATACAAATTATAATTTTAAATAATGCGTGCTACGTAGAAAAAGAGAATAGTTTTGGTCTAAATATGAAATAAAGTTAAAAATTATCAAAAAAAATTAATTGAAATCAATTTTTTGATTAAGAAAAATTTCTATCGGTAGGCAGAGTTATGAAAACTTGGTGTGAATTACTTTTTTACCTATATACTACCGCAAGTGGATTAACGAAAAATTAATGAAGGATGTAAATATTAAAAAATAAAAATTATTATTAAATATTTAAAAATAATTCACACCAAGTTTTCATAACTGTGCCATACCGATAGAAATTTTTCTTAATCAAAAAATTGATATAAAAATTAATTATTTTGATAATTATTAACTCTATTTCATATTAAGACCAAAAACTATTCTTTCTTTCTACATTGCACGCATATTTTAAAATTATAATTTGTATAATTTCCCATTTTTAAATCTAATTATTTATATTAAAAAAATTAATTAAAATTTAATATATTCCTAAAATTTACTTGGCTAACTTTCATTTCACAAATTGTTTTAATGGTTAAGATAATTTTTGCTTGGCGTAACTTTTTGCATTAAAGATGGTTTTGTTGGGATTTCAAAACTTTTTGTATCATTTAATGTCATGACTCAGTGATGAATCAGCTAAGAAGCATCTAGAAGATCTGATCATGTCTCTATCAGATCTATATTTTTATGAATTTCAGATTTAAGCAGTCGGATTAGGTCCCACGTATAACATTTTAATAAGTTAATAAAGAAAACAAAAAAATTAAAAAATAACTTTTTAAACAAACATAATAGTTTCAAAGAAAATAAAAATTTACTAGCAAAAGTTACAAAAAAATACTATAAAAAATTAAAAATTTCAAAAGTTTTTGAGTGTATTCAAATATTCACAATTATATATCGAGATTTTAACCCAATTAATATTATTTGTATATTTGAAACCTATTATTTGAAAATAGAAATTTTTCTTTAAATAATTCAAAATTTTCTATCGAGTATGTGCGTGTAAATTGTCAAAAAATATTATCTAAACATATTAACGGCAACTCTATCGTTGGAAACTTTAAATTATTTAAAGAAAAAAGTTTTTGAATTACCGTCTTTGCAAACAATTTTTCTACCACATGTTGTCGCCGTAAGAAACAACTAATAATATTATTTTTGTGAGTTGGTTACTCAACTGAGAACAAACTCTACTTTATTTATTTAACAAGCAAAGTACAAAAACTTGGAGATAATCAATCCTTCCAAAGCTTCACTGAGTCTTTTTGGAAGACAATTTACTAACCGTGCTATCACTTTGAGTAGCGACTAATTAATCTGACCACACCTGCTTATGCATTAGTTTAAAGGACTGTGCAATAGTCCCCACTCTTTACAATACACACTCATACTTCATACTGTCGACACACATAAGGCACAAATTTTTTTATATTTTAATCATGACAACACGTGTGATTAAAAAATAAATTAATCTACTACATCTACAAAACTTTCAACTAATTTTAGCCACTTTGTTATCATTTATTTTCTTACACGATACAAATACAAATTGCAATAGCAGTAACTATAATGTTGCGTATATTAACAAGAAAAAGAAATTCTATAGAAAATTCGGATAATCTAATGTTTACATCTGCGGTGTTTTAGGGAAAATACTCTTTTATTATTTTTGTTGACAGTACGGATTTAAATTACAAAATTGATCATCCAACTTTTATTTCCAAAAATTATAGTAAATGTATTATTGTTGTTGTTATTATTATTTTTACATTTATTATAAGTATAATATAAAATTGCACTAGTAATTTCAACTGATCTGCACATCGTAATAAAGCAATTTTTCATTATAATGCATAAAAAAAACAATAAATTCATAAAAAATCATGCAGAAGGAGCGGTTACGATTTTGAATCTTTGAAATTTTGTTTATTTAGGGAACAAAGATTTAAAATATTCAAGAATTTTTTTTCGGCATCGGGGATAAACTTTTTCTTTGTTAAAGTTAGGTGTGTATGGTAATAATCTATAGAATATTATATAAATCTTTTCAACTTTAGATTATAAAACTTATAATTGTCTATACCTTGTATTATTTTAAAACAATAAAAAAGTTGGATTATAAAAAATATTATGAGATGATCGTTTTTTTAATAATCCTAATCGTATAATTTTTCTCAATTACACCCAACATTCTTCACAGGGTAATGAAACTTAAAAATTTGTACACGCAGGGATGTGGCGTTGCTAATAAATTATTTAGTGAAACGTCCAAAATGTTTCATTTCTTATACGCTATATTTGGAACGTTCCACTTAATAATTTGTCAATAAAATAACACATCCCTGTGTACGACTTTTGAGTTTCTGTGCAAAATGTCCAAAAATTACAGTGAGGATAATTATGAATTTTAAGATGCGAATTCGAAACTGTTTCTAGTTTTATTTTTTTTAAATTCGACAAAAAAAAAACTCGGAAAATTTGAGAAAAACGCCTTTTGAATTTGTTTAAAATTTTTTTTTAAATATATTTATGTAACCATAAAAACCAGTTTAATTTTTTAAAAATCCGTCGCTATGAATACAAAAATTTAATTTAAAAAAAGCGCCCAAGCGATTTTGCTATTTCGGCCATTTCTTTTTGGAAAATGTTCAACAAATTCCAATCGAAATTTCATCCAAAATATCCCACGAAAAATTTATCCGAAAATTGTACAAATTATTTTCACTTAAGTTTGCTTATATAATATTTGTTTTTCAATTTTTTCATATCTTTCATTTATATATATTTATAATTATAGCTAAGCGAGGTTAGAATCATAAAGATAATAGTAGGTTAGAATCACGAACAAACTTTAAGCGCAGGAGTATAAATATAGCCCTTATTCAGGGGCACTTCAGAACACAAGTTTCCGCTTACATTCTTATTTACGTATCCAAAATAATTGAAATTTTTTACCTAAATTCTATCTTTTTGATTATTATTAATTTTAATAAAAATTAAATATTTAAAAATTTGAAATATATCTCTCTATAAATATTGTTGAAAATATTTTATATTTTTTGTATTTTCTCCGCCTAGTGAAGAATATTTATTCGTAACGTTAGTTGCGTGAGTTACGTGACAGATGACAGTAACACACACACACACACACAAGTACAATGACGACAAATTTTACATCGTCACAAAGTTTATATATATGTGTATGTCTGTCATATGTTCACTAACATATTCTTATATTAATCACTGGAATTGAGAGGTTTCACCTGATGGTTGTTGCGTTCGAACTTTAAACGTATATAAATATATGGGAAGAATTCACAATAGAAACTGGAGCAAATATAATTAAATTATTGTGCTTAAATAATAGTGTATTTTTGAAAGTTAATAAAATGGGAACTGTTAAACATTCAGAACAATTTGAAGAATGGAAGAAAAAGGTAAATATTTCTCAAATATATGACAGATAAAAGTAGCCAATGAAAATTGTAAACATATCGTTTTAATATTATTTCTTTTTTTTATGATTTGACAACATTTTAAAACGTACATGTATATGTTATACATACACATATAAAAATACGTATGTTTATTATATTTATATATACACATATCTGAGTCATATCAGATAATTTTTCATATATATTTTAAATTCTTTTTGAAATAAGTAATATATGTATATAATAATATTATAAGAATCCAATAAAATTTTTTTAATTATTAATTTTTATATTTACAATTTTTTTTCATTATTGTCCTTATAATAAAATTTAATTTTAAAAAATATTAAAATATATATAAAATTTTTTTTTTGTGTTACATTAAAAATTTTTATTATTAATATTTTCTCATTATTACTATTATTATTATTAATACTTTTTTTTAAAAAAAAAAGATATTTTCGTCTTTAAAATATGAATTTTATTAAAATTAAAAGAGTTAAACCATGAATTCTTTCGCTGACAAAAAATTGTTAATTAAATTATAATGAACTTATTGACAAAAATTTGTCAAGCGTATCCGGTTTAAAAAAATATTTTCAGAATCGCACTTCCCATATTTCCAGTAAATCTATATTCAACCCATGCCTCGGGTTATACGACTTTTTCTGACTTTTTTTTCAAAAACACGACTTTTTCGACTTTTTATTAAAAAAAAATTTTAAACAAAATATTGTTAATTTTCAAACAATTATTAAATTTAACAAAACTAAAAATAATTTATCAAACAATTTTTGGAAAACATTTTTTAAATTTCATTGAATTTTCAAAGATTTAAAATTGAGATTTTTGAAATTAATTGAAACTTTAAGTGTTTTGTAATTAAAATTTTAGATGATTTCACTAAAAATTTATTAGAAAATGCGGAAAAAATACAATAATTTGAAAATTATTTTTAATTGAAAAATGGTTTCAGATAGTTGAATTTTCAAAGAATATTATTAAAATAGTTAAAAATAATTGAATTTTAATTAAAATTTTGAAAATAATTGAATATTAGTTGATTTTAAAACCACAATTTTAAGAAAATAATTGAATTTTAGTTTATTTTGAATTGAATACTTGGAAAATAATTGAATTTTAGTTTATTTTGAATTGAATACTTGGAAAACAATTGAATTTTAGTTGATTTTGAATTGAAATTTATGAAACTAATTAAATTAAAATTGAAAATTTTTAAAACAATTGAATTTTAGTTGATTTAGGATTGAAAATTTTAAAAATAATTAAATTTCAGTTGAAATTTGGAGAATAATTGAATTGTAGTTTATTGTGAATTGAAATTTTTGAAAATAATTGAATTTTAGTGAATTTGAATTGAAAATTCTGAAAATAATTGAATTTTAGTTTATTTTGAATTGAATACTTGGAAAACAATTGAATTTTAATTGATTTTGAATTGAAATTTATGAAACTAATTAAATTGAAATTGAAAATTTTTAAAACAATTGAATTTTAGTTGATTTAGGATTGAAAATTTGGAAAATAATCAAATTTCAGTTGAAATTTGGAAAATAATTGAATTGTAGTTTATTGTGAATTGAAATTTTTGAAAATAATTTAATTTTAGTTGACTTTGAATTGAAAATTTTGAAAATAATTGAATTTTAGTTTATTTTGAATTGAAATTTTTGAAAATAATTGATTTTCAATTGACATTTTGGAAAATATTTGAATTTTTGTTAATTTTTTATAGAAATTTTAGAAAATAATTGAATTTTATTTCATTTTAAATTGAAAACTTGGTAAATAATTAAATTTTAAATTGAAAATTTTGGATAATTATTGGATTTTTAATTGATTTTGAATTAAAATTTCGGGTAATAATTGAATTTTAGTTTATTTTGAATTGAAATTTCTAAAAAATAATTCAATTTTATTGTGATATTTTTTTTAAATTATAAACAATTGTTAAATTTCATAAAAATTTTAATTGAAAAAATAATTTTAATATAATTGAATTTGTGATGTATTTCATTAAAATTATTAAAAATAATTAATTTAGTGAAGAATCATTTTAGTTCAAAATTTGTTAAATAATTGAATTGAAGAAGATCTGAAGAAGATCTACATTTTATACTAAAAAAATGTATATTTTATTTACATTTTCTTTTCAAAATGTAAAAAAAATGTCGCATTTTATTAAAATAAGTCGATAAAAGTCGTATAATCCGAGGCCTGTAAACATATAATTTTCATTATTATCATTTAATATGTAATAATATTCTAATAAATTAAATTATTATTGATAATATTAATCTTTAATTTCTTTATAACAAACAATTAAATACTCAATTTGGCGCGCGTTTAATTTTGCTAGTTATAAATAAATGTTTATAAATCTTTTAAATGATTTTAGGCATTTATTGGTCCTTTACCATCTGGATTTTTGAGATTGGATGATGTTAATACCCTTGCCCAACAAGAAGCTGCAGATCGACAAGCGGCTTTGGCCTTACATCAAGCCCAAATGAGAAATATGCCAATGCAAGCTAACGATCCGCGTGTAGGCAGATTAAGCATAACAATAACACAGGTTAAATTTTATTAATATTAATTAATTAACTTAAAAATTTGAAATTATTGGATTGACGAATTTCTATGTTACCGAATTTTATAAAATAGAATTTATATTAAATTGAATTTTTATATTTAAGAATTTTTATTTAACTGAATTTCAATATTTAAATAAAAATTCCTTTAAATATGAATTCTTAAATATGAAAATTCAATTCAATATAAATTCTACTTTATAAAATTTGGTAACAAAAATAAGTTACCGTTACCTCGTTTAATTTTTTTTTATATTTATTGAATTTTTTTAAATAATTCTGGTAGATATAGATTTTAGAAAAAATATTTAATATTTTTTAAAATTATTTAACAGGCGAAATTAGTGAAGAACTATGGAATGACTAGAATGGATCCTTATGTGAGGTTACGTGTGGGACATGCAGTTTATGAAACACATACTGCAATAAATGGAGGCAAAAATCCACATTGGAATAAAGTCATACAATGGTATTTGCTTTTTAAGTTTTTGTGATTTTTTTTTTTTTTTTTTTTCTTAAATAAAAAAATTAGATTTTTTTACTTTTAAATTTCAAAAAATAATAACAAGGGACACATGATTATCAGGGTTGTCACGGACTTGAAAAACCTGAAATTGTCATGGAATTTTTTTTCAGTCATAGAAAACCGGGAATTGTCAGGGAATTTTATAAAATCTCGTTCTAAAAATTTAATTTCCAGTATGTGAATCGAAAAATCTCAAGTTTTCAAGTCGTCATTACAACTTTTTGGTTTTAAATTTAGTGCTTAGAATTGAAATCAATATGGCGTTTCTAAATATTAGTTTCTATTGGTGAAATATTTTCTTTTGCGTAACACGGTGTAGCTGTCTTTATAAAATTAAGTAGAATAAATATTTTGAATCTAGCATGAATATGAAATTATTAGGGTTAGTTGGAGTAAATAGAAATAGATTTGCTAAGTTTCACAAATAATATAAGTTTTTTTTCTTTTAAATCGTAATATTTTTGGTTTTTTATGTGTATTGAGTTATTATTTAATTTCCGTGGAACAATTTTATGGGGCAGTAGAAAATATGGATATCATTAATTCGCAATAATCAACTGTTTCTATTTACCCCTAAATTTTTCAATTTTGCTAAAATTTAGGGGTAAATATGAAACAATCATTATTTCTTAGAAAATTTAAGAAAAAAATTAATTTGAAATATGCAAATATTAAAAAATACAAAGAATTATGTAAAAAATAGTGTTAGTTATAAAATAATTCAAACTAATTTTTTATTGTAGTATTAATAAGACATAATTGTAATTAATAATATGAATTTTTAGTTTATTTTTTTCCAAATGCTAGTCAAAAAAGTGAACAAACGGAAAATTGTTTAAGGCCGTATTTATTTTTAAAATTTGTTATTTAACTGAAATAACTACTGTTTCGATTTACCCCAACTGACCCTAATAAATTATTTTATTAATAATTTAATTAAAGAATTTTGTATTTTTTGTCATAATTGGCTAAAAATTAATTTTTTAAAAATTTATATTTTTTGGGTCTGGAATTTTTTTAAAAATGGTCTCGAAAACCTGGAAAAATCATGGAATTTTGAAATCAGTGTTTCGTGGTAACCCTGATTATTTTCTAAAAATAATTAGTTAGAATTTTCATTTTATGGAATTTAATTTGGTCATAATTATTTTTGAGCATTTTAAAGAATTTTTATTGGGTAGAAGTTCATTGCATAGAATTTTCTTTCTCATCAATTTTCATTTATTCGAATTATTATTTCATATAATTTCCATATAACCGATTTTTCTGCAGAATTTTTACTTAACCGAAAAATCATTTAACAGAATTTTCATTTATCCGAATTTGCAAATGACCGAATAAACAATCGACAGAAAGATTTTCCTCCCCTTAAGGAGAAAAAAATTTTTTGAACCCTTTTTTTACTGCTTGAAAACTGTAATACTATCTTAAATATTATTTTTTTCTGAATGATATAATAATTTTTTTTATCTAAAAAAAAAAAAAATAAACTAATATAATTAATTTAATGTAATTTTCATCATTGTTCTTGCAGTTTATTGCCACCAGGTATTACACAAATTTATGTAGAAATATATGATGAATGTTCGTTTACAATGGATGAATTGATTGCCTGGGGACACATTGATATTCCCTCGCAAGTAATTCAAAGAGGAGAGACCTATGAGGATTGGTACTTGCTGAGTGGTAAACAAGGAGATCATCAAGAAGGTTCGATAAATTTGGTCCTAAGTTATACTGTGAGTATATTTTTTTTTCAAGTCTAATTCTTAACAAAAAAAAAAAATAATAAAATTTAGTAATTTGATACCTCTATTGCGTCCTGTCGCCGTCAGATGGCGGATGCATGCAGGAAGCATAAAGTCGCAGCTGTTATTATATGGCTTTCCTATTTTTCGTTTTGAAATCACGTTATTTTCTATTGCAAAATTAAAAAAAAAAATTTAACGTATTATAAAAAGTAGTAATATATGATTTTTAATTTATAACAGAATAAATATGTGCCTCATCCTCAAATGATGGCACCTCCTTTCATGGTAGTTCCTTCTCCAACGGTGTTTGGAAGAGGAGTTCCATATGCACCAGTTAATGTTTATACTGCACCTCCGACAGCCGGAACGCAACCTGTTCCCGCAAGTACTTTACCACAAGCCGAAGAGGAATTAAAGCAGGTAATTTTTTTTTATAATTTTTTTTCATTCAATTAAAATTGTTTCTATCCCAATAAAAATCATTGGTTAGAATTTTGATTTGAAAGAATTTTTTTTAGATATAATTATTTTTTTAGGCAAATTTTCATTTTTCGAATTAGAATTTGACATAATTTTTTTTTTTTTTTTAAACAAATTTTTATTGTATAGAATTCTGAAAATGCCGAATTTTTATTTATTCGAAATGGCCAAATGAACAATTGATTTTGGCGCGTTTTTTAAAATTGACCAATCACGATTTTCTTGATAAATTTTCTGATTGGTTAATTTTAAAAAACGCGCCGAAATTTTTCTGTTGATTGTTTGTGTTCGGTCATTTGCAAATTTCGGACAAATAGAAATTCGGTGTTTTAAGAATTCTGTATTAAAAAAATTATAAAGAGAAATTGTATTAAATTCCAATTCGAAAAATGAAAATTCATTTAAAAAATAATTCTATCTAATAAATTTCTTTCAAATCAAAATTCTAACCAATAATTTTTATGGGATAATTATGAGCCTCAATTTTAATGGGCACAAGATTTACCCTTTAATGAAAGGCAGTAAATAAATAGATGATAGTGAAAGTTAATTATTAAAATATCTGGCTTTTTAATGAAATGAATTAAATTCACAGATTGCTGAAATGTTTCCAAACATCGACAAGGATGTGATAAAATCGGTCTACGATACCAAAGGTGGTCAAAGAGCAACGACTATAAATACCCTATTACAAATGAACGAATAATAATAATTCACGCCTTCCTCCCTCTCGTCGTACATTTTTATTTTTATTTATTTTTTTTTTTTGAAATGCCATATTTGTACGTTATCTGCTTAAGTGTCATTCAGTCAAGATGTAATATATTTGTAAATTATTACCATTTATTTTACAGTCTACTTTTTTATACAATTATCCTATAGAATTAATTTTACATATATTAAAGGGGGTCCATTTCATCATATCGTTGAAATTTTACAGAAAATGCAAATGATCGAAAATCAATCACAGAAATAATTTGTCGCTAAGTTTTTAAATTTGACCAATCACAATTTTTAAAATTTTTGATTAGTCTAATATTAAACTTAGCGCCAAATTATTTCTGTGATTTATTGTCTCGACTATTTGCATTTTCTGTAAAATTAATATTTAACAGAAGAATATTATTTTAAATTAATATTCTTTCTAATCTTCTTTCTGTATAATTAAGAATCAGAATTACTATTCTGCAAAATTAATATTCTACGAAACAACGTTTCACACAAATTGAGATTGAATTTCTGGCTAAATTAATTTTCGTCTAAATCAAAAAATTTTGCAGCATTGACAATCGGTTAATAATTCTAAAAAAATTATTCTTTTTAGAATTAAAAAGAAAGTGATTTGTAAAAAAAAATTTTTCAATTAACAAACAAAATTTGATAAATAATATCAAAGTCGACGATATGTTGAAATGGCATGGACCCCGTCCCAATATAAATAAATAAATATATATATGTATATTTATTTATTTACATTTATATAAATAAATAAAGAAAAGTCATAAAATGGAATGTTACCTGAAAAAAAAGATGACAAAAACACTTCCTGCGTCCTGCATAAACAATATTTATCCCAATAATCAAAAATTTAACCATATTCCCTGTGTAATATTCTTATAATATTTGATTTAACATGACCATATGTAAAAATAGGTATTTTGCCAATTTGGAAGATATTTTGCAAGTGGATCGGCAACAATTTTTGCAAAAGGCACTGTTCTTGATATTGCACTTAGTAGAGAGTAAATCTTCATTTGACTGTACTTATCGTAAAATGGCGATCGCAGTAAATAGAGAAGTAATCCTATTCTACGGCGACAAATTTCCTCTTTCTCGTTTCGATTGAATCTTGCTGTTTTAGCTTCTTGGCTAAATATTTTCAAACTAAAAAAAGAAGAAAAAACAAAACAAAAAGTTTTAATTCTATATAAACAATATTAGATATTTTAAAATAATTAAAAATTAGAATATGGGTCACATTATTTTTATTTCGTTTTAAAATCGTATACTATTCAAACAAAAAAAACATCCGATTCTTAAATTTCTTTAACGTTACTTTAAAACAATGTTTCTTAAGTCAAAAACATAAAATATGCATTTTTGAAAAAATTGTTCGTATTTCCGAAACTTAAATCAATTAAAATTTGAATAAATTGATACTTAAATCAATTAAAATTTGGATAATTTGAAACTTAAATCGATTAAATCATTTGAAATTAAAATTAATTAAAATTTGCATAATTTGAAAAGTAAATCGATTAAAATTTGAATTTTTTGAAACTTGAATTAATTAAAATTTACATAATTTGAAATTTAAATTAATTAAAATTTAGATAATTTGATACTTAAATCAATGAAAATTTGGATAAATTGAATCTTAAATCAATTAAAATTTAGACAATTTAGAATTCGGATAATTTGAAACTTAAATCAATTAAAATTTGAATAAATTTAAATTCGGCTTATTTGAAACTAAAATCAAATAAAATTTGTATCATTTAAAAATTAAATCGATTAATATTTAGATATTATTAAAATTCTTGATTATCAACAACGATTATTATTATCGACGAATAATCGAAAATTAAAATTTCGTTAATTTTAGATTTCAACCAATTTGTATTTGATTAAAAATTTTAATTATTAAATTTATTTTCACCAATAAAAATTAGAAATTAATTGAAAATTGTATTATTTGAAATTTAAATTTAGATTGAATTGAAATTCAAATTGATTAAAATTTGAATCGTAATAAAATTTAGATGAATTAAAATTTTAAAAAGATTCAAATTAAATAAATTAAAACCAAATTATTGGAAATTTTCGTTTTTAACGCGCGCCTACCTTGCAATATCAACAGCAAAAGACAACAGCCAAGGATACCAGTGTCTTTGTCCCTTTATTGATAAATATCCAAGATGTAAAAGTGGTTTTACAACATAAAGTGTCTAGAAATAATGAAATTAAAAAAAAAAAATTAATTACTGATTAAATAATAGGAATAATAAAATAGATATCATCTTAATTATTAATAAAATAAAATAATAATAATAAAAATAATAATAAATAACAATATAATTATAATTTGTTAAATATAAAATTATAAATAGCAATACAAACTTCAGCGAGAATCAAATTTTTTCTGGACGATGAATTGCATTGGACACTTGATTCTCCAGTATCAGATGAAATGGGATGAGTAAGTGGTGACCATGTGCGATTTTGTGTTGAATTACTATTTCTAATACTTCGAACAACAGCACCAGAACGTTTTAAACAAAAGCCCTTTTCTTCCTCGGGATTTTTTGCATTTTCAGAATTATGAAATTTTTCACGATTAAGAGGGGGAATCGCTGGTGTTTTTGTAACTCTTTCTTTGTAACGAAAAACCAAAAGTAATCTCAATGCTGACCTTTAAGGTATATAAAAAAAAAAATTAACTTTTTTAACAAGACAAAAAAAAAATTATTTACCGTTGACAGAGGTAATTATGGAACATCAGAGGAAATTTTTTTGTAAAGATTAAATTTAAATAATATTAAAATTAATGAGAGAAAAATTTAATAAAATAAATAAATAAAAAAAAGAAAAAATAATTATTATATAATAATAAAATGCTTGGTCTGTCCTTCTGTCCTAACTTGAAGTTGGCCTTTTCTGATTTCACGTTTTTTTTGTGAATAGTAATCTTATGACGTGTCAAATTTTGACAATTCTTTTTCTCATTTTTGCCAAAGTTGTATAATTGTGTTTCCAAATTTCGAAATAAGTTTCTTTAAAATTCCAAATTCGAAAATTCAATTCACGAAGCTGAAGTACACAACGTTTACCAACGAAATTTTTTTTAAAGTTGTATATTTATTCAAAAATTGTATACAAATACAAAAAATTTATGATGAGAAAAAAGATGCGCCAGGAAATTTCGTATAAGATAGTAATTTGAAAAAAATTTATTTTTCAAAATTTATTTTTAAGGTACCAGGGATCAACAAATACCTATTAAATATTAATTATAAAAACACAGGCATCGAATCAACTTAAAGACACAAAAAAGTCGTTTCAGTCGATTTATATTCCAAAAAAAAGTGGATTTGTTTTTTATTTTAACAAAAATATTTTACAGATTTTTAAATAAAAAAATTTTTTTTTAATAATAATCCTTTTCGAAGGGTTAAAGTTGAAATTTTTAGAAATAATTAAATTTCAAAAGATATTGTTAATTTTCAAACAATTATTAAATTTTACAGAACTAAAAATAATTTATCAAACAATTTTTGGAAAACATTTTTTAAATTTAATTGAATTTTCAAAGATTAAAAATTGAGATTTTTGAAATTAATTGAAACTTTAAGTGTTTTGTAATTAAAATTTTAAATGATTTCACTAAAAATTTATTAGAACATGCGGACAAAATACAATAATTTGTAAATCATTTTTAATTGAAAAATGGTTTCAGATAATTGAATTTTCAAAGAATATTATTAAAATAGTTAAAAATAATTCAATTTCCTTAGAGTTATAATTGAAATTATTAAATTTCAAAAAAAAAATTTTCAATGAAAAATTTTAGAAATAATTAAATTTTAGATGCTTTTAAATTCAAATTATTGAAAATTCAATTAATTTTGAATTCAAATTTTTGAGATTAATTAAATTTAATTTATTTTACATTTGGAAAATAATTGAATTTCAATTCATTTAGAATTTAAAATTTTGAGAAATAATTGAATTTTAATTGAAATTTTGGATAATAATTTAATTTAAGTTCATTTTTGATTGAAAATTTGGATAATTAATTTTGAATAGAAATTTTAGAAAATAATTGAATTTTATTTTATTTTAAATTGAAAACTTGGTAAATAATTAAATTTTAAATTGAAAATTTTGGATAATTATTGGATTTTTAATTGATTTTGAATTAAAATTTCGGGTAATAATTGAATTTTAGTTTATTTTGAATTGAAATTTTTAAAGAATAATTCAATTTTATTGTGATATTTTTTTTAAATTATAAACAATTGTTAAATTTCATAAAAATTTTAATTGAAAAAATAATTTTGATATAATTGAATTTGTGATGTATTTCATTAAAATTATTAAAAATAATTAATTTAGTGAAGAATCATTTTAGTTCAAAATTTGTTAAATAATTGAATTGAAGAAGATCTGAAGAAGATCTACATTTTATACTAAAAAAATGTATTTTATTTACATTTTTTTTTCAAATGTAAAAAAAATGTCGCATTTTATTAAAATGAGTCGATAAAAGTCGTATTTTTGAAAAAAAAAGTCGGAAAAAGTCGTATAATCCGAGGCCTGTAAACATATAATTTTCATTATTATTATTTAATATGTAATAATATTCTAATAAATTAAATTATTATTGATAATATTAATCTTTAATTTCTTTATAACAAACAATTAAATACTCAATTTGGCGCGCGTTTAATTTTGCTAGTTCTTAATAAAATTACAAATCAAAATTCAAATATGATAGTTTTTACAAAATATATCATCACAGTTTCTTTTGTTAACTCTTAAAGGCAATTATTTTAAGAATCTCTTTGTTAATAGTATTTTTATTTAAAAATTAATTTACAGTTAACTTTCAAATATTTGATAAAGAAATTTTTTTTTTTTTGATTAAATTTAATTGATTTTAGACAAATTTTCAAGATTTCAAGGACAAATTATTGAAAAAATTATTTAGTTACTTTTTTTTAAAATAAAATTTAAAGACTACCCGTGTGGAAAAAGCCACGATCTTGCCCTCAAGAGTTCGGGGCCCCCGGCGGGGGCCCATGAGGGCTGATCCATATGGCGAATCCATGAGGGGCACCGTAGGGGCCCCGCATGGATCGCCCTCATGATCGATTAGCAAAATTTTCTAAGTCCAAAAATCAAATATTTTTTTATCACCAAAAAATTAATGTTTATAATGATTCACAACAATGAAAAACGCGTTTTTAATTAAAATATATTTTCACTTTTTTTGAAAATAACACTCACACTTATGGCGAATCCATGAGGGGCACCGTAGGGGCCCCGCATGGATCGCCCTCATGATCGATTAGCAAAATTTTCTAAGTCCAAAAATCAAATATTTTTTTATCAACAAAAAATGAATGTTTCCAATGATTCAAAACCACGAAAAACGCGTTTTTAATAAAAATATATTTACACTTTTTTGAAAATAACACTCACACTTATGGCAAAATAGATGAGGGCCACCGTAGGGGCCCGCATGGATCGCCCTCATGATCGATTAGCAAAATTTTCTAAGTCCAAAAATCAAATATTTTTTTATCAACAAAAAATGAATGTTTCCAATGATTCAAAACAACGAATAACGCGTTTTTAATAAAAATATATTTACACTTTTTTGAAAATTCGCCTGAGATGATTCATGATAATAATCATAAAGCATATAATTAATTATATTTTATAAATTGCATTTGATTGGAAAATATAATTTAATATCTTAACTTTAACTAAATGATGTTAAGCACTTTTCTTTGTTAGGTATTTTTCAAGTTTAAATAGCATCAAGAAGTTAGCATTCGTTTTGAAGTAGCGTGCGTAGCGTAGTTGGTAAAGCGTTAGACTCATAGTCCGTAGGTCGTAGGTTCGATTCCCCCCATGCGTTAGATTTATTTATTTCTCAGGTTTGCGTTTAATCATTAATTCTATGTATGAATTAATTGAAAAATGAAAATATTCGTTAATAGTATGCATAAATTACATATTTTTTAATTTTTTAATTAATTAATTTATTATTACTTTTAATTATATCCGACAGTTAATTAATTAGAACGTTAATTAATAAATTCAATTTGAGTAAGAATTTAATTTAAAATTGAATAATTATTAAATAAATACGTTATTTATTCATAACTTAAGCTTATTTATTATTAATTAACTTTTATTATTAATATTATTGATTAAAAAACATTATGGCAAACTTGAGGGCAAGATGAGGGCAAACGTGAGGGCCCATAAGGGCGCCCGTAGGGGCACCCTCATGGATCGCCCATGCGGGCGCCCTCATCGATGAGCATGTCGTTTCCATGAGGGGCCCCTATGGATCATCCATATGCGGCCCTCATGGCATGAGGGCGATCCATAAGGGCCCCCGCTGGGGGCCCACATCACTTTTCCACACGGGTAATTTATAAAAAAAATTATTTAAATTCAGAATTTCGGCAAATATTTGAAATAGTAATGAAATTTTAGAAAAATTTGAATTAAGAAATGTTTTAAATAATTGAATTTTTGAAAAACTAGATTTGTTTTTAGAAATAAATTAATTCAACAAAGAATTTAAGTTGAAATTAATTGAAATTATTGTAAATTTGAATTAATGAAAATTTGAATTTGAAAAAATTGAAAATTGAATTTTAGAGAATTTTGAATTAAAAAATGTTTTAAATAATTTAACTATTGAAAAAAAAATTATAAAAATTATTAAAATAATTAATTTACAAAACAATTTTAGAAAAAAATTTTAGAAATAATTTAATTTCATGAGATTTTTAATTAAAATTTTCGTCAATTTGAATTGCAGACGATTTTTTTTATAAGCTTCAGATAATTTTTAAATTGAAAAAATAATTTAAATAATTTAGTTATCGAAAAACTTGATGAAAGTTATAAGAAATAATAAAATTAACACAAAATTTTTGATAAAATTTTTAGAAATAATTCAATTTTGAAAAATTTTCAATTAATATTTTTAGAAATAATTGAATTTTCGGAGATTTTTTTTATTGAAATTATTGTAAATTAGTGTTAATGAAAATTATTAACAAAATTTTATACAATAATTGAATTTTAGAGAATTTTAAATTGATAAATTGTTTTAAATAATATAATTTTTAAAGAAGTTGATTAAAATTATTAAAAAATAATTTTTTTGCCTACAAAGTAACTGAAATGTTTTTATTTTTTTTTGCCACTAATAACGAGAAAAAAAATTTGTCAAGCTGCAAAAAAAGTAAAAAGGTAAAGATTTCAAAAAAGTTCGAAAATCCATGAAATTCTCCGAATTCAATAAAAGGATTTTCAGAAGGATGTTGAATAATTTAAAAAAATTTTTTTTAATTTGGATTTGTAGTGAAGAAAAAAAATTGAAAAAATCGCGTTTTTTTTTTGTTCCATAATTTCCCCAATTGACGGTATTGTATTTATGATATTAAGAAAAATGATATATCATTTACTTTAGACTTTGTATTAGAAAAATAACAAGCCATTTTCCCGCTTCGCCTAATAATCGTTTTGCTGATACTTCTAAAAGTGCTTCCGTATAATCAACAACAGTCAACCAAATTTTTATCCTTGACTTTGATTCGGGTAATTTTTTTTCAATATTTCTACTACTATAAATAAGTTGATCGTTAAATAATACCAAAAGATTTGTCAATGAATATATTAATTCTGACACTAATGATGTATTGTGAAAGCGTCCTGAAATGTAATTTATTATAAAAAAATTATTTCAAATTTAAGTTAAAAAAAACAGATAATTTTTTTTTAAATTTTGTTTTTGTTGATTTAAAAAAAAAATGTTTTTTAAAAAGTCATTTCACTTTTTGACTTTTTATCATTTGAAAAAATTTTAATAAATCGAATCCAAAAAAGAAGAAAATTATTGAAAAAAATTCAAAATTATTCAGTATAAAAAAAAAATTTTTTTTCTCTAATTTTGATTTTCAAAATACCTGCAGTAAAAAAGGAAAGACATTTAATGGTACTCTCTATGTCGCCAACCAATTGAGGATTTCGTGTTATCCATTCTCTGTAAGCTTCAATGTACATGAATATTTTCTTATTTAATGCTTGAGACATTTTTTTTCGTCTTCTGAAATAAATATTTTTCAATAATTTCACTAGCTACAAGTTCTTAGAGTTTATCAATTATTTCCAGTAAATTTTAATCACCCTTTTATATATATATATATTTAATATTAAAATTTGACGAAGGTAATTTGCTCCGTTTTCGAAATATTGAATTTTAAAAAATTTTTGACTTGAAAAGGTTTAATTTTAGAATTATCTATCAAATAAATTTAAAATATAATTATTGAAATAAAAAAGTATCTAAAATTTCAACTTTCATTTTAAATCTATTAAGAAAAAAAAATAGAGTTCAGCAAATTTAAAAAAATAAATAAATTCAAGGCCTTTTTAAAATTGTCAATAATTTTTTTTAAGATTCACCATTTACGTTGTAACTCTTAATTTTAAATCTCAAAATTTTTATATAGAAAAAACATGATTTTTAATAGGTATACAATTCTAATTTACATATTTTTTTTCCATTAAAATTCTTCGAAAATTTAAATATATATATTTTCAAACATTTTAATGAATAAAAAAATTCAATTATTTGAAAAATTTTATAATCAAATTTTAAAAAATTTCAATTATTTAACATCCTTGTAATGAAATATTTTTAAAAAATGTAATAATTTTCCAAATTGTAATTTTAAAATAAAATAATAATTTTATAAAAAAAAATTAAATTTGCCAAAATAATACTAAAAAACTTATTTGAAAATTAAAATACTTTTGAAATTTTTAATTAGAAATCAATTTAAACTATAATGTCAAAACCTTCAATAATAACTACTTCATATTATTATATAATTAATATTATAATAATAATTATATAATATAATAAATATATATTACTTATAAACCTTTTTAACTAAAATTCTGTAAATTTTATCATTTTCAAAAATTTTAATGAATTTCTTCGATAATTCATTGATTTTAACAATTTTTGCATTAAAAATATTATTTTTTAAAAATTAATTTTAATTTCTAGAGAATTTATTTTTTTTTAAGTTGTATAACTTATACATTAAAAAAAAAAGAAATTAATTGATATTAAAAACTTTAATTGCATCTCTTTGAAATATCAAATTATTTGCAAAAAATCTAAATTAGATTTTTTTTTATTTTGTATTAAGTTTTTCATGCATTTTAATATTAAAATTTTCCAAGTGAAAATCGAGTGTAAAAAAATTAATTGCAAAATTTCTAAAATTTTATTACCTATTTAAAAAAAATGTAATTAAAATTGGGGAAGTGACAATTTATTTATTTTCATAATAAAATTCTTCGAGAATTAAGTAATTAAAAAAAAAAAATAATTAAATTAAATTAATTAATTAACTAATTAAAAAGACATCTTCTCTCTATTAAAAAAAAAGTTTTAAATAAAAATTAGAAATTAATAATTTTTTTAAATTAAATTTTTACCTAAAACTTAATTATTGTATCCTCTGAAATACAATTTTTTTTATAAATAAAATATTTAAAAATACAATATTTACGAAAATCTCTATTCTCATAAAAGAACAAAAAAGGCAAAAATTTGGTTTGTTAAATTCTAGTTTTAGAACTTAAATCTTTCTGAATAAAAAAAATGTTTAAATTAATCTTTCCAAAATATAGCAAAATACCTTCGTCAAATTTTAATAGCAGATAAATTATATCAGTAAAAAAAAATTTGCAAAATCTCAATTTTTTTAATGAAAATTTTCAAATTCAATTATTTTTGTTAAAAAAAAATAATTAAATTTTATAATAATTCCATTATTTTTATGTAAAGAATAAATTGATTTATGTTTCTGATAAGTAAATTATATTTGATGTTAAATAGTTTTTGAATAAAATTTTTAAAAATGTACAAAATTTAAGATTACGAAATTACGTCGTGAACATTCTATTTTGAAAATAAAATAAAAATACAAATGAATTAGTAAAAAAAAAATTACAAATATAGTTTTGTTTATAGATATGTAAATATATGAAAAAAAATATAAACCGTCATAAAGAAAACTTTTTTTTTATATTCTTATACATAAAGTATTTTATTTATCAACATAAAGAATCAAATATAATTTATACATTAACAATAAAATAAAATTCTTAAAAATTAAATCATATATTTAATAAACTTACTAATTTTCTGGTAGAAATGATGTCAAATTATTTAAGGTACATTTACAAGAAAGGGAAGAACATTTTGAAAAATTAATTCACTTAAATTGAGTAAATTAACATTTTTCTGTAGTGATATAGTTATTTTATTTATAATATTATCATTAATCAAGAACTTAATAATCTTGAAGACGTTCAAAAAAAACTTGTTGATTTTTTTAAAAATTTGTTTCACATGAGGTTTTTTTTTCTTTTTATATGATATCTGAAAATACGATGAGATTATTTTTGGTTATTTTTATTTGTTGATCTTACAATGCCGACGAAGGTGAAATATATAACCATCACCATGAGGTTATTTTTTACGGAACTGTCAAAATCGCAAACAAAACCATAGAGATATAACATAAACAAGAACATATGTGTATGAAGAGAAAAATGGTGGCAATGTAAAAGGGAGTTCACAGTTTAGACTAACGATGTGATTGGTTGATTTCTGTCACGTCCTAGACTTAAAGGCAGTGATGGGTACGTATAAAGGAGCTTCTACAACAACTTGCAATCTGTATTGCTTTGCAACTTGCTTTGCATTTTGCTCAGCATTTTGCTTTATGCGCGCGCAACGACTCGAAAATTTCACGTTCCATTCACATTCCGGTCATTCCTCAAATTCAATAACATTCACTGTCTGCAATCAGAACTAATCTCTGCTGCAATGTTATAAATTAATTATTAATTAACAATTGATTAATTTATAAACAATTGTAATTAATGAATTTGAGTCACCGCAGTAATTAGGATTGATTATTAATTTGCGACGTCTTCCTATTGTATGTCGAGGTAAGATTAACACTGATATAAAAATATAGTGTATATACTTTGGAAAGTTATAACATATAAGTTAACAGTGCTGTTTCTTTTATTGTAAAATTTTTTATGAGAGTTAATTGTCAGGCGATAAGTACGTACGTGTATGTACGTGTATATCCATCCGTATACAGTATATTATTGTAAACAATTATCGCACAATGTGTTATATTGTTTATTTGACAGAAAACAGCAAAGTGTCCGGTTACCGGTAAGTTGACCGATTTATAATTTAATTTATATTAAATAAATTCCATTCCAATTGATATATATATATATATATATATGGGGCATTCTTTCTCAACGGGAGAATTGCTCCCCCCAAAAATGGTTTGGACGAAAAGAGTTCAATTAGGTCTCAAATTTTAGGTATTTACGTCTATTTTGAAAAGCAAAGTGGCACTTTTTAAAATTCAAGATGGCGGATCTAATATGGCGGAAAATTAAAATAAAAATAGATTAAATTCACTTAAAATTTGTTACTCGCGAGTTTTTTGGGTCGCTGAATATGAATCTGAAGTCAATTTTGTTCCAGCAAGTCAGGATTTTTTCCTAACCCCAAAAAACATGTCGGATTTAATACAACAAGCAAATTTTTTTAAAAAAACTCGAATTTGCTTAAACCTTGTTACTCAGGGGTTTTTGGGGTCGCTGATTTTGAATCTTAGAGTCAGATTATTAAAATTCAAAATGTCGGATCCTATATGGAGAACGAGTTTTTTAAAAAATGGTGAATTTTTAAAAAACTTGATATATAGGGGTTTTAGGGTCACTAATTACGAATCTGAAGTTAGATTTTTTTAAATTCAAAATGACGGATCAAATATAGCGGACGAGAATTTAAAAAACTTGAATTTTTATGAAACTTAGTATCTGACGGTTTTTAAGTCGCTAATTATAAATCTGATGTTAGATTTTCAACATTTGAAAAGGTAAATCGTCATGAGAAGCATATTGGCTCTTTTAAAAATTAAAGATGGTGTATCTAATATTGCAGAAATTTAAAAAATTTGACCATCTATTTTTGAAACTTGTCATTTAGGGGTTTTGGGTCGCTGAAAACAAATCTGATATTAAATTTTCGAAATTTTAAATGTCGGACTGGAGAATTAGAAGCCTTTGTTCTGAAAGTTATGGTTGCTATTCAATTATAGTTTTATTTTAGCGTAAATTTTTTTCATGATAATATCTGGTTCAGTATGCCAAATCAAAAGACACTTTGATAGATGTTGTAATTCTTACCAAGCGTTTGGTATTTCCAGTTACACTAATAATGATTTAAGATCTATTTCGAAAGGTATGGAAAAATATCTAGATCTGCTCTGTCTGATAATATTGAAGTATACTGAGAATATAGACGTAATAATCACGAGTTTAGTGTTAAGGCCATGTGAGACAAAGACACTTTTTGGTAGTCCCAAGTATTCTCGGAAATAAGAAGAAATTTCGGTTTGAAATTTTGAGGAATGATAAAAAAGGGTTGAAGGAATTGGGCTGTTCTACTTATTTACTACATTGAATGCGAAATAATTTAAAAGAAGTAATTAATAGTGGAGTTAATTGGTGTTTTTAATTTCTTTGAGCGGCCACTAACTCGAATTGGCGCTAGTTCCTGGACCACTGATACATTCACGCGACGTCTATGTGTACCCCCGCCATGTTGACTTCAACTTTCGTTCAAAAATGGCAATTTTCGAACTTTTATTTTTAATACTTAAACGCAAAATTTTGCTTCAATCCGAGAACAGCGCCATTCTGAATGCTATTCTCTATCATATTTTACAAATTTCAACCAAAAATTCTTTACCATTTCAGAGAATACTTGGTAATACGATACCATGTTTTTTGCATGGGGGTCACGTGGGTATTTCCCACATGGCCTTAATAGTACAAATTCTGCTAGCTTGAGGAAAAAAACCGCTAAGGGTAGTCATTATTACTATAGGGCCTATAACATTGTAGAAAATTAAAATTTCATCAAAATTTTTTTTCTGTTGATAGTTTACAAACATAAAGAATTATCTTGAAGTTGTAAAAGATGTTTAGGCAAAGACTATATTAAAGCTAGTAATCAATTACCCAACATAAATACAGGGACTTTATACAAACAATAAAATTGGTAGCATGTCTACCAAATGAAACATTATTTTTCACGGAGGATTCTAAAGAAACCAATTACAAAAATTACAAAATGCACGAATATGAAAAAGAAAAGACACCAAGTTTCATAAGAATCCAATAGTTTTTTAAAATCTGGTCCGCCATATTGGATCCGCCATTTTGAATTTTAATAATCTGACTCTAAGATTCAAAATCAGCGACCCCAAAAACCCCTGAGTAACAAGGTTTAAGCAAATTCGAGTTTTTTTAAAAAAATTTGCTTGTTGTATTAAATCCGACATGTTTTTTGGGGTTAGGAAAAAATCCTGACTTGCTGGAACAAAATTGACTTCAGATTCATATTCAGCGACCCAAAAAACTCGCGAGTAACAAATTTTAAGTGAATTTAATCTATTTTTATTTTAATTTTCCGCCATATTAGATCCGCCATCTTGAATTTTAAAAAGTGCCACTTTGCTTTTCAAAATAGACGTAAATACCTAAAATTTGAGACCTAATTGAACTCTTTTCGTCCAAACCATTTTTGGGGGGAGCAATTCTCCCGTTGAGAAAGAATGCCCCACACTGCAAAAAGAAGTATCTTATTTTAAGATGTTTTGGTCGCCTTTTTAAGATGTTTTTTATAACTTGGTTCTAAGTTATCTAAAACAACTAAAAATGCATTAGTTTCTTAAGATATAAGATGGATTGGAAGATATTTTTGGTAACTTGCTTCCAATGTATCTTATAATAAGATACTTCTTTTTGCAGTGCATATATATATATATATATATATATATACATACATATATATATATATATATATATATATATATACATATATATATATATATATATATACATATATATATATATAACAAAAATTTTGTTCATTAAAAGTTAAATTTATGTAGTATTTTTTTTAATTTAATACATGGTTATATAATATGTATATTTGCTTTATGAAAACAGTTAAATAGCCTAAATTTTTTATAGGTTAGGAATTTATTAAAATAAGGCGAAAAATTTTGCTTCCTCTTTACACCGCTTTATTATATCTGCAATGGCTAAAATTGATTGTTTATTGCCTCGAATTTATTTATCATCAAAATCGGTCAAATAGACGCTGGCATGTGAGACCTCACATAAGTGATGCACTCCGAGACCATTATGGTGCATACGAGTGTCTATTTTTATATTATGCCAATTGCGATCACGAGAAATTTAAGGAAATGTTTCGTTTATCAGTAAAAGCCTTCAAAATACTCCACGACATTATTGGATCGAGTCTCGTAAAAAGAAGTCGCAGAATCCCATTGTCGTCGGAGTTAAGATTAGCAATTACGTTGAAGTAAGTTAAGTCTTTAATATAATAATATTAAATTTGTCCCATTTTTGTTGGCATTAATATTTAATTCATTTTAAATTCCGATATTATTATTATGTTGAATGGTCCTTTTGAAAAACTTATTTAAAAAATTCTAAGGTAAATAATCAAAGCGCGAAAAAGTAAATTAATTAAAAGCAATTAATCATCTTATTAGTAATTACTTATCTGTTCAACCTCGAAAGCTGATAGATATATTCATTTTTTTTAACGAGACTATAACTTTTGCATAGAAACGAATAAAGAAATGGTCTTTTGGAAGTATAAGATTATAACAGAAATATTTTTTTCTATTGATGAATACTTTTTACTTTCTATACGATAAATTTCATTTTAAAACTCAATTTTAAAATAAAGTAATGACTTAAATTTAAGTGACAATGTTTTATAAAATTAAAGTAAAAAAGACATTTTTTAACTTGGAAAATATTTTTTAATTGACTAAATAAGTATTCAACCAATAGATTTGCTTTAATTTAATTTTTAAAGAACTGAATTTTTGGTCAATATCAGGTTTACATTATTAAAGTAAAAAAAAATTTTTGTAATAAAATATAAAAATAAAAATTCAATATTAAAAATTTCATACAAATATTATTATGTTAACACATCGAGCAATGTAATAAAAAATAGCAAATTCTATATGGCGAATTAATCAGTTCTAAAATTTTTTACCATATTTAAATTTATGTATGTTAGACGAAAATTACAAAAATCAAATTTTGAATTCGGAGAAAACGAAACAAATTTTGACTACGAGCAAAAAAAGGATCGACAGATAACCCGTTTTTGCGCTTATCTGCAAACAATTTGTTTTTCGTCGCAGTAATAATAATATATTTTTTAACATAATGTGTTTTTTTTGTAGAACGACTACTAATCACCCTTTCCAAAAAGAAAATGTAGAGTCATCTGATGAAGATGTGGAAATGACTGACAACAGTGGAGGTAAAGTTTATAAATATTTATAAATATTTATTTTAAAAGAACTAAAAACGAATATAAATTATAATCTTTATTTTTCTTTAACTTAATTTGTTATAATTTATGCCATTATTTTAATCAACTAAATAATTATGGCCACGAAACTGTATGATTAACAAATTTCTATTTACTTTGAATAAATACTTTCAGACAATATATTTAGACACTTTCCGGCCCGGGATAATGCAAGGAACGATATCCTTTTACAGCGCCAGGAGGAGGTTCTGTGGGACGCATGGGTGAAGATTCCCGAAAAAAAAGGAAACTCTGCTATTTTGAATTAAGAGATTTGTTCCAAAATAAAAAATAACATTTAAAGTTCTTTGCAGTTTTTAAATTTAAATAATAAATAAATAACAACATTACACAAATTTAAAAGTTTCTTTATTTATTCCCTCACGCACTATATTCATTATTTATTTCAGAGTATATAAAGTATTAACCACAAAAGATCTTAGTTTTACATTTGTATATCATTTTTTTCATTTTTTTAATTCTGATCAACTTTATACATCAATATAAATAAATGTATATAATAAATAATATTAATAAATGAAATATAACACATAGTGACATATTTACAACTAATTACCTTAAAATGACGCATAAAAGGAAAAATAATAAAACTTATGTCATTAAATCACAAACACTTTTATTCATTTCACGCACATTAATTAATTAATCAAACTATTTTTTTATCACTGCTCATCTCATCAAAAAACACAAATGTTTATTTATTTTTTTTTAAACATCAATCGATAATATGTATAAATTTCAGGAATGAGCGGAACGTGAAATTTTCGAGTCGTTGCGCGCGCATAAAGCAAAATGCTGAGCAAAATGCAAAGCAATACAGATTGCAAGTTGTTGTAGAAGCTCCTTAATACATGACGTATAATACGTGGTTTTCTACGTGTATAATACTACGTATATTACGTGCCAAGTTTTCTACACGATGTATATTACATTTGATCACGTGATTTAAGAGCGGCAATTTTAAATTCTTCATTAAAATACATCATTCATTACTTTACACTATTGAAAGAGAAAGTTGTTAATATAAACAAAATTTAGGTAATTATTAATTATTTTAACAATTATAAAACAAAATTTTTAATTATTGAAATGTTTTTATATCGGTTTTATTTCTAAGTTGGTTTCACAGATAAGAGTGAACACCGGGCCACGTGCATATAATAACATAACCTATATTCTAAGTATTATATTGTCAGTCTAGTCGTTTGGTATCTCCCAAAATAAACAATTTTTAAATCAAAACTTTATAAACAATAACAAACAATAATAATACGCTTATAGCCAGTGTTTTTCATAATGTTTTGACAAATTAAACATTTAGCAACATTTTTATCAGTGCCTAGCTCTTTCATCCGCTCAAATTCTATTTTTTCCCAGGGCAAACATAACATATAATTCCCCATAAGAATAACATTGTATATAATTTGTAAAAAAAATATTTACTTTTTTTTGTTTTTTTTTATTTTTCAAAATAAAATGTATTCTAATTTGCTTTTCTATGAGTTTACTAGAAGATATTTTTTCCTAGCGTATGCAAACCGTGGAAGTTGGCTCAAAAAAAGACAAAAAATTAATGGATGAAAATAATTATATGAATATTTATGAGAAAAATTTATATATTTGATTAGAATTTTTGATATTTCAAGTAGTTGAAATTAATTTTTTAACGGTACTTAATTAAATTTTTATAAAATTCAAAAACAAATTTTTCTTCAATACGTTCTCTGGTTATTAAAAAGAATATTCTGTTAATTTCTAATAATGAAAAAATTTTGCAAAGAATTTTTATTAAAAAATTTATTAAATAATCGATAAGTGTTTGAACAACGTATCACAGAGGTGATATTAATGAAACGTTTTTCATATACGAAGTAATACAAAAATACATGCATTCGTATATAAAAAATACTTGAAGAATAGCACCCCTGCTCATTTGCAAGGTTCTCTTACCGAAATAGGAGGAAACTCGTGCAAACGTAGCACGTTGCTGATTCTTGCGGCATCCGCCTGGCGCCGCTACTTAAATAGTACGCGGTTCGAACTGTCAAAGTACTACTACCACGGCTTCATAGTACAGAGATTGCTCACGCAGACCCGGTATGAATTCATGCTCGACGGGTAAGTGAAGCGCCAATGCGATAAACTCACAAACTACTACCGTGCTATTAAGCCCCGTTTTTTCTCTCCGTGCACCTGTCACTTTAATGTTCGCTTTTAGGTTTATTACGTCCTGCAGCCGTTAGGTGGCAGAAGCATGCAGGGAGCACAATGTCGCAGCTGTCATTATATTACTTTCGTACTTTTCGTTTTACAATCGCATTTTTGTATAGATTTGCACAATCTTTCGGATTTAAGAAATTTATAAAATAAGGATCCTTGGTATTTTTTCCGATTTTGAAAAAAGTGTCCGCGTTTTGAGAAAAAAGTATTGTAAACTCAATGTTTATCATTTTCACGTTCAGTGCCGTTTTTATAGGGCGATTATTAAATGCCAAAGAATTTCAGAGACCGTTCGACACTCTTAACCTTTTTTAATAATGTAATAAATAATTGAAATTAAATAATAAAATGCACTATTTAGTGAAAATGAATATTTTACAAACAAAGTTGAAAATGACAAAAACAAATTTAATGTAAATATTCACTATTATATCAAAATTACTAACATATTAATTAAACCTTTATTAATTATTTACATCTATTAAAATTTTCAAATAAAATTGTGTACGTTAATAAAACAAGAATGATAAAACATTTCTGACATCTAGCGTGTTTCGTGCGCGGAAATCTCATTATCTGCTAAGTGACATTCTATCGAAACATAAACAGGACATTTATTACAAAATGTACTATTTTTTTTATTAATATGCACTATTCAAAACAAAAAATATATAATTTAGACACATTAAATATTCATTAATATATACACATTTGGTTTTATCACAATTTTCACTTTTTCACTTTAAATATTTACGAAATAAAGCGAACATTAAAGTGACAGGTGGGCACCTTTTGACTTTCAACATTAATAATAAGTTAATAAAAGCTGAATTCAAACAAATTATTACATGAATAAAACCTTGGATTAGTTATTTATTCATTCCAATAGTTTTTTTTCCACCATTTTCCACCTTTTTCATGGGATTTCCCACATCGAACCGAAACGTGACTGAAATCGGACCGAGTTCAGTCAGATTCCAGTTCATGCGATCCGCCAGGGTGGAGTCGCTGATTGCGAATTTGAATACAGAATTTTAATATTATAAATGTCAGCTTCAATATGATAGAAAAATGGATCAAAATTGTACGAATTCAAAATCCGCCATATTGTATCCGCCATTTTGAATTTTGAATAACTGATGTCAGATTTGGAATCAGCGACCCCAAATGACATTTATCGGAATTATCATTTGACATAAATGACAATTATCAAAATTGTCATTTGACATAAACGACATGTATAAAACATGTTATTTGACATAAACGACATGTATCAAAATTGTCATTTGTCATAAACGACATTTATCAAAACTGTCATTTGACATAAACGACCTGTAAACATAAATGTCATTTAACATAAATGACATTTATCAAACTTGTCTTTTCCCTGGCGGATTCGATTTACCTAAAATCGACCCAGCTGGGTCGAATCTAAGTCGAATCTAAGTCGAATTTAGGTAATTATCAAAAAAAAGCTTTAAATTGATGAAAATTTATAAAAATTAGTATTGTGAGGTTAAATGAACATTCATAGAGTTAATTTTTGTAAGAATTTTAATTATTAACGTGATAAATAATAAATAATTACTTGATATGTGCAAGTGGTAACTGTAGATTTTAACTCGTTGTCAGTTTTCATAATATTTTCAGAAATTAGTGTAAAATGTGTGAAAAAATAATTTATATTTAATAGAAATTGCAAATTTTATTAATTATTTTATTATTTATCGAGCACAGTTTAAAATAATTGCAATTTAATTTTTAAAAACAGTTTTCTTAAAAGTGATAAGAACTCTACTATACCGACAGCAAGAGGATATTTTCAGGTAAGTAAAGTTATTGTAGCGTGTAGTTTTGTTGGGACTAAAAGATGTCGCTTTATGTTCTATAGTGATCAGACAGGAACATCGAATCCACGGATCGAATCTCATGATCAAATATTCATGAATATTCATCTCTGTTCTATCTTATATCTAATCTATAAAACATAAAGCGACATTTTGTAGTCAAAACAAAACTACACGCTACAATAACTTTACTTACCTGAAAATGTCCTCTTGCTGTCGGTATAGTAGAGTTCTTATCACTTTTAAGAAAACTTTTTTTTAAAATTAAATTGCAATTATTTTAAACTGTGCTCGATAAATAATAAAATAATTAATAAAATTTGCAATTTCTATTAAATATAAATTATTTTTTCACACATTTTACACTAATTTCTGAAAATATTATGAAAACTGACAACGAGTTAAAATCTACAGTTACCACTTGCACATATCAAGTAATTATTTATTTTTTCTCACGTTAATAATTAAAATTCTTACAAAAATTAACTCTATGAATGTTCATTTAACCTCACAATACTAATTTTTATAAATTTTCATCAATTTAAAGCTTTTTTTCGATAATTACCTAAATTCGACTTAGATTCGACCCAGCTGGGTCGATTTTAGGTAAATCGAATCCGCCAGGGTTGACCTAAATATACTACTGCGAATTTTAAAATTGACCAATAAAAAGCTATTATTAAAATTGTGATTGGTCAGTTTTGAATTTCGCGCTACCCTACTGAAAATCTCTGTATAAGATCTTGTAGAATTTCCTGTACAGGATCAGCAACTGAACTTGTACAAGTTCTGACCAGTTCCTGTAAAGGAAAATGCATACGAATTTGGAACAAGTTCATGTGTGAGATGTTGTACAAGATCTGGTGCAAGATCTTGTACAAGGAAGATACAAGTACAAGAAAATGTACATGTTCTTGTACAATTTCATGTATAAGTACTTGCGAAACGACGTGCCTGAGTAACTTAAGAAAGAAAATTGTTTATTATCATTAAATTTATATTTTAAATAAAATATCATTATTCTGGAGATTACTCGATTTGTTCAATAATTTTTTAATTTCGTGAGTTGCTTATAAATTGTTTTTTTTAAACATTGAAAATTTGTTTTAATAATTTAATTGATTCTTTTGAATAATACTAACATTGATCGTTACATCCTTGAACAATAGACCCCTAGGTCCTTTGTTGAAGGATTAAAATTTTAACCCGAGTTTTATTGCTTAAAAAATTTGTAATTTTAATAACTCAACTTTAAAAAATATATATTC